AGGCACAGCACAGGCTGCAGGCTGTGAAGGTATTAGGAAGAAAAGGACCAGTCATGCAGTGCACTCTGCAAAGGCACTTTTGCCAAAAACTGAGTTTGACAAGCTCTAATAATGATCCTAAGAATAATTAATGCTCTCACTCCTCCAGCACATTCCYCCCCAGAAGGCAGAGAATTAATGGTGAAGCCTCCCAGGCTTTTCTGCAGATTAGCAATTGCAGCTAAAGAGTCGATGGCAAAAACCCATCTTCTGTCCCTTTGGATGTTCTGCCACCATCAAAGCAATGCTCAACCTCAGCACCAGCAGGAATTTGAGTAGAGGACCGMAGTCCCTGAGCAGCAGCACATCCATGGAGCAGTGACATGGCTGGGGACAGTGCTGACACCGAGTGCCAGCAGCTCCTGGGCTCCAGGAACATGGCAGAGCCTGAGGCAGTGGAAGGACAGAAGAAGTTTGCAGAGGCCACCAAGGTAAAAACTTTGTGCTGCTCTACAGCCTGGAGGGAGAGGGGAGCAGGAACTTCACCCTCAGGAAACCTGCAGCACATTTCTGAAACACCTTTTCGATTTTTTGTGCGTTTTCAACTTTTTTTGTATGCACAGGGAACCAGATTTAATTTGTCATGTTGCAGTCATCACATCTGAAACAGATACTGCAGGAATGTAAGCTCCCTTCTTTCAGGCCTTTTGCCTTAACCACAAGAACATCCATCTATGCAGTGGGAGAGTCAGCCAGACCATGAGAACTGTGTGATACAATCTACAAGGAATATTTCTAATGATGTAGCATTTTTGAAAGCAGATTATGCAAGGATACTTTTAAAAGGAATTATAATGTAATTTGGGTGTAGTCTCTGCAGAAAGACAAATAGAATTCATTCTTATCTTTGCCTAACTGCCTCCTTTTTCACTCTGTCAGGAACCCTGCATGAGAACAGATGATTTTACACCAGTGACGCCCGCCTTGTGCTCTTTCCCAGATATGACAGTCTGTATGCAACATGGCAATCTGGGAGCTCCAGAGGGAATTACATCAGCAGTTTGTGTCAAAGTTCTGTTTGCCATTTCTATTAGGAAGGATTATTTCAGCATCCAAATCAATATGACTCTATGGCGGCATAAAATCTATGGGAGAGAAGTTTACAAGGAAGGTCTTATCTCTGGCTCAAGGAACAGATGTGGGAAAAAAGATTGGAAATAGGGAGCTCTCCCTATAGAATACAGTTCAACAGACACCAGTGTCAATGGCTGAATGCTGATCTCTGGAATTAACTACTCTCTGTTAATTCAAACTTTTAACAATTGCACTGTGGTGGCAAACAAAAGGAGCATGTTCCTTTCCAGTTGGCATCTTTAAATTAAGGTAAGGCATCTCTGTAAAAGATTTACTTTATTTCAAGAACTCACTCTTGGCATGGCACCAAGTACTGTCATGGCATGGAAGAGTAACTCTCAGCAGTGCAGAAACCAGGAGGCCAATAAAGTACTCAGAAAAAGATTTCTGTTCTTTTTTGTCCATGTATAGAATAATTAAACAGAATAAAAGAAACAACAACTGGGAATCCTACTTCAAAAATGGATCTGTAGGAGYTTTACTATGGTGGCCAGGAAACCATTTTTCTGCAGCTCACAAGTGACAGGTTCCAGTAAAAGACCAGCCAGCTTTTCTTTTAAATGGCAAGTCCTGTCATTGCTTTATATTACRTTCAAGGATTAATTTGAATTTCTCTCTAACTTGACGATAAATGACACTGAATTTTAGGTATTCACTTCCATTGGACATGTGCTGACCTTTACCTGACTGGAATGAAAGAAAAACTCAATGTCAACTTTAACCTTTCTATCTAAACTTACCACAGAGACAAACCCATGTACAGCAAAGCTGAATGTWCAGCCACTTATTTTGGGCTGTTCCAGACTCTGCACTGCTGTTCTGGTTCAGTCTGCTCAGAGAAGCACCTCAAACACAAAACAGGTTCCMTCTGGTAGCTGGGAACCTCTCCTGCCTTCCCAGAGGAGCTGAAATGAGCATCTGTTCCCTGGCAGTCCACTCCCACGGCACATCCCTGCCCTCCATCTACAGCAGTTCTGAGACAAAGCCTCTCTGAGGATTCACAGCAGGCTCAGAGCACCCCTGTGTCTGGTGTAAACCTTCCCCCAGCTCTGCTCTGAGGGGCTGGGGGGCACCCTGGCACTGGAACCCACAGCGTGCCTCATTTCTGTGGAATTCTCTGGAAAAATACCACCAAGAATGCCTTCCTCACTGCTGGCTCCCCAAACAACAGCTTTTATCTTATCCCTACAGGATATTACCTGTATTAGCCAAGTACTTTGCTAATTTCACTGTTCTTAAGTACTATTAATAAATCTTATAATGGAGATTCTGATGAGGAATTACAGATCATGCAGCTTGCCAATGGCTTCCCACATCCCATCCTGGGAAGGACCTGAAACAGCCAGCAAAACGTCTCAGTGACAGCCCAGGACCAGGCCAGTGGCAGATTCCCTGCAGCTGGAGCTGGCACAGCTCCCACCAGGCAGTGTTTTGAGGCCTCCTCCTCTTCTGGCAGCCTCTTGTGGGGAAAAACAAGAGCCAAAGCCCTGCTCGTCGAGTCCAAGAAGTGGACTCCTCTGGAGGGGAGCAGCACATGACACTGCCTGTGAAAATTAATCTAATGGCCTTTCAACAGAGCTTTGCAAAGACAAACAGTCCACTTCTGCTGAGACTGACACTGAARTGAGGAGTCTAAACAAAACAGCAGGAGGAGACAACGGGGAARGAAAACTTTCAGCAACAGTGAGGGCAAGATCTTGGCAAGATCTGCCCAGGTTTTCCTGGTTTTTTAATTTATTTTTTAAAAAAATAAGCCTTTTTTTAAATGGCGAGTGAAAATCGTAGAATTTGCAGAAAAGTTTCCCAAATTCTTCAGGCTGAGACAAAATGCATCACACTGAACCAGCTATTCATTTCAYCAAAATGCAGGTTACGAGACAATGCAAATAAAAGTCCACATAAACTCATTTGAGCCAGGACCAGGTATAAATAGACTTTAATTTCCCTTGAGAAGGCCTCTAAACAATCCAGAAGGTATTAGTGACACAACTTGGAAATGGTGGCCAATGCCTGAATAATGGAAATARCTGACCATTGTCCAAGCTACTAAAGGAAATGGGGGATTTTCTATYATTTGGTGTTTTCCTGTCAAAACCCTGTGCCAAGCTGGAAGTCATGTCTTGGCCAAACAGAGCTCATGCATTAGCTAAAAGTCAAACAGGATATATAGGGAGGTCAAACCAGATCCACTTATGCCTTTTACYCTAAAATCCCATGCTTGTTAGGGGAGAAGCAGGTTTTTCTGTTCCTTCTTCAGCCTTTAAGAAAAACAAGTCTTTTAATCTATTTAGAGGCCCTTTCTGACATTCTTTAGCTGCAGTTTTTCTCAATCAACCTAATCTTTTCCCATCAAGCTCCATGCTAATCCCATTTTGCTCCACTCCTTAAACTAATAAAAGATTAGAGTGACATTTCAGAAAGGGCATCGTATTAAGCAGCTTCTCTCCCATCTCAGCGCTCACGGCGTAGGGAATGCAGCGAAGGGGCCATTAATCTCATGGAAATGAGGTGTCAGTCTGGATGGAGACCTCCTCCCTGAGCCACGGGAAGGGCAAGGGGATAACGAGGTCACTGCTGYCTCCATCCCTGGCAGCTCTGCCAGCTCCATGGGAGCTGTTGTGGTGGTGGCACCAGCTCCTGTCCCCGCTCTGCTGTGCTGTGACAACGGGGAGCAAAAATCCACCGGAGGCTGTCACCCCCTCCTACTGCCCACATAGAACAAACCTTCCCCACGTTCTAATTAGCAGAATAAAACTGTTTAACAACTTCAGCTTTGCTCTAACAGCTGATCAATTAGGATCAGCAGCCACACACAGAGGCATTTTTTCACACCTATCCATCCAGCTGGTGAAAACCATGAGCAAATGTCTTCATTCCTACAGGGAAAAAGCCAGTGCTCTTTCTGGGGCCATGTCTGCATTGATATCATCCAGTTTGCTTCCATACAGAAAGAAGGTTTTCATTTTCTTAAAAAAGTCACCATTTCCCTAAAGAAAATTCCCTGGAGTGCTCAAGTTTGAGCAAGTGCTGAGAAAACTTTGTGAGAAAAGTGATGTATGGTGACATCCACGCCCCTCCAGGAGGATGCTCTTCCTTACAGCGGGAGGTGGGCTGGGAATTCCTGCTCTGCTGCACACACAGTGCCATGACTTTRTGCTGAGTCTGAAATGCTTCTGTGCACAGAACAAACTGGAGCAACAAGGCTTGAAAATAACAACCAGGGGAGAGGGCTGCTGCAGGAGCTGTGGATGACAGGGGCAGCGCATCTCTTTCCTACAGAAACACAAAGATTTCACTTGTGCTTTTGCTTTCCTTTCTCATGACTAAGAATAAACCTGTGGGTTTCATGGCCTCAAAAGCCAAGTGTCTGAAGGTCAAATTACCCTACAATTTACCATAGCAAGTTTGTACACTTTTTACATTTTTACATGGTTTGTGTAGTTACTTCTGTTATAGGCAAGAGTTCCCCTAAAAATATTCATCCTGTAGAAGAGATCAGCCCTTCTATTTGATACTGTCAAACCCTGCAGCTGCACAGTCACTATTCTGTCTTGTTGAGTCAATTAATGGTAGATGTCAACAGAGAAACTCATTAATTACAACTATTTCAAAGACAAAATTCATCAGAAACTYCTTTACAGTAGACGAGAAAATACCATTTTTTACAATTATAGGAGGACACAGCATCACTGGTATCACCAATAAATGTCAATTTTTAACTATGCAGCCTCCAGCTAGGTCTAACATTCTTACCTAATTACATGCACAAAGGAGACAGCTCCAAGTAAAATAAAAGGWTTTTCTCCACTGCACATTGCTTAGAAAAATTCTACCTCTCCTGCATCTGTTTTGGAAATCAACTGTGTTGGCAGAGCACAGCCACTTACCTGTACACTGTGGTGGGTGGGGAGTTCAGGGTGTCGTAGATGAGCCTCACGTGTCCTTGATACAACTCCAGAGCCAAAGGATCRTTGTCTCCCTTGTACAACAAGATGCCATTGTCCTTGTCCGTGGCTACCTGTGAAACATTCATAACCAGGTAAGGCTGCTTGAGAATGGTTAAAAAAAGAAATAAACCTACATTAAAAATCAAACTGAAATAATATATGCAACTTAAATATGCTTTAATATATTAGATGTATGAGCAACAATGGGAGCAAGAGCCAGGAGGCACAAAAAGGTCTTGGTGCTCTTGGGTGGGCTCACACACAGGAGGCAACTTCCCACTTTACATGAAAACCAGTTTTCAATTCTCTTCTGAACCTTAGGGCTGTAACAAAATTCAGGGCCTTTTGATTGCTGAATAAGCAAAATACTGTCTGGAGAGGCCAATTAGAGCAGTGTGTTGCAAGAAGCATCCTGACATGAAACACCAAGTTGTGCAGGATGACACACAACGCTGTCAATCGGCAGGRACACAGCGGGGATTCCTGAATCAACCCTGCAGTCTGGGAATCAGGGAGTGGTGAGATTCTGGAGGCAGGMTGTGTGCCCACCAAGGCACACCAGTGCCTCAGCTGCTCCTTCACATGTTAGTGATTTTAGAGCAGACAAATGGCTCTCAAACTGACTCTTCATTTTTGAGGGTTTCGGCCAGCACCCCCTGCTCCATCAGCGTGTGCCACACGCACAGGCATTATTGCACCAACCTGCAGGGAGATGTTTGCCTGCGGGCGGATTTTGGCCGAGGGCAGCTCCACGTACGAGTCCTTGCCCACGAAGTTGACGGTGATGAGCTTCTCGCAGCGCGGGCCCGCGAAGCCGGCGAGGCAGCGGCACACGGGCTCGTTGTGCGCCACGATGCACTGCGCTCCRTTCTGGCACTCGGCGTGGTCGCACGGGCTGGTCTGCAGCAGCACCATGGGCGGTGGTGTCTCACACAGCAGCCCRCTGTGAAAGGGAGGGGAGGGGACAMACAGCRGCYTGGGTTAGTGCCCGGTTTGGGTTTGCCTTTTTATTGCAGGGGCTACCATTCTGCCGTGGAGCGGCGGCTCTGAGGTTCGGCCACTGTACACTGCTGTTCTGGGGGAAACTGCACAGCTGGACACGGGCAGGAATAATGTGTATGCTGGTATTGGGACAGCTGGACATGGGCAGGAATAAGGCCCGTGCTGGTGTTGGGAGAGCTGCACAGCTGGACATGGGCAGGAATAATGCCCGTGCTGGTACTGAGACAGCTGCACAGCTGGATGGGGCAGGAATAATGCCCGTGCTGGTATTGGGACAGCTGCATAGCTGGACACGGGCAGGAATAATGCCCGTGCTGGTATTGGGACAGCTGCACAGCTGGATGGGGCAGCAGTGCCCCTGCTAACTGGGAAGAGCCACTGCAGGCACTGAGAGCAGCCTGCACTGCCCTTTGCACTGGGTCTTCAGCTCTGTGGGGCACTGCAGCCTGGCTGGAGGAGCTCCCACCCACACCGTGCCCTGCAGAGACTCCCAGTGCAATCTGTGAGCCATTTCAACTCAAACCTGAGATTTCCCCATCCTGTGTTTGTGATTTCAGTCTACTCTGCTGTTTCAAGTGGCAAGAAAAGGAACCCCTTCCAAAGGTACCAGCAGAACTGAGCACTGCTAAGCCAGCCTGTGAGTTTCCTTCTACCTAAAGCCCATTGTAGCTTCAGCAGCAAGTAGAAAACAGAAGGGAAAGTCAGTGTATGTAATTCCAATTTTGTGGAAGTTAAAAATAATAATAAAAAATCCATGTGACCCACAACAGCCTCCACTAACAGAAAGCAAATGTTGGAAGAAGCCAGAGTGTCTGTGCTTAGTGTTGCTCTGACAGATTCCCCAAGCTCCTGGTGTGGCTCCTGCACACYCTTGCTTGCTGTGAAACCCCTCTGGTGTATGGCTTTACCAGGGCAGCTCTCCTGATATGGCACCTAGAAATTACATTAGCAACAGCGGCTGACAAGGCCCTTTCATTTTTAATTTTTTTAAAMATACATATTTAGAAGTAATTAATAGGATTTATTTCCCCAGCAGTGGAATGTAGAACACAGCCTGACTTGCATAGCAGTCCGCTCTGCCTGGTACAATGTCATTTATTTAAATAATCACTGTGAGCTCCTTGCAGCAATCTGTCCCAGTGGAGACCTCGGAAGCATCTGCACCACAGAGGAGCAGAGCTTCCATCAGGCTCTGCAGCTTAATGTGTGCTTCCCCACCAGAGCAACATTTATCAGGCTACACTACTGTGAGGCTGATTGCTGGAGGGAAGCTTTGAGAACTTGGGGTTTATTCAGCGGGGCTCACAAATTCTCTAAAACATTTTCATCTGCAGGGGGCAAATGAGGGCTATTTTGGGAAGAAAACACCGAAAACTTTACAGGAAGGAAGCAGATTATGCAGTTGGGAGATGTTGGTGAGTGCTAAGGAAAGGTGCTGCAGGAGCACAACTACACCTGACCAGTGAATGGGAAATKATGGGATAGGAGCAAGTGTGTGCATGGTGGCACTACTGCTTTTTGGGGCTGTCATCAGAGGGGTGCCACTGGGCAGGATGAGGCCCTGCCCACCTTGTTCAGAATTACCCAAGTGCCATTTGTTCAGCTGTGTGAGGATGTAAGTTTAACATCTTTTTAATGGCGTTGACATGCAGAGCAGTGACAGCCCTAAAATCATTACAGGTCTSGGCGTTTATTACAGCAGCACAAGCTCTGCATAATGGGAGGGCAATCACTGCTGGGAAATAATTCCTGAGACTTAGCCAAAAAAACTTTATTAATCATCATCTTAGGGCTCCKTTGTCAGACCAGCCCTCGTGTTCTCTCCTTTTCATCAGCACCTGCAGCATTCAAACCCTTGCAGAGTTATCTCCTTGCCACACATCACATGCCCAAGGCAGCTGCGAGGACAGGGCAGGCTCTAACCCTGGACATCAGAAGGATGAACTCTGTCAATCACTGCATTTGCATTTTTAATCTCAACAGGAAAAAAACCCAAACCTCAGAATTTCCTTCAGAGCAGCAGGCCTTTAGACTACAAAAGGATTGAGTCATGGGAAGAATAATGAGATCATATTTGGTTAGCAGAATTTTAATCCTGAAATTGAACAAGATCAGGGACTCTCCTGCATGGAGAACACATGGGGCTCCAGCTTGCTGTCTGCTTTGGCAGATGGAGTGTGGTAGTGCTCAGTGTGAGGTTTCCCTCCCCAAAGACCCTTCTCTTCCTTGCATCTTGCACAGGAGATTTAGGGAAGTGGCATGGACTAGTGGAAAAAAGGAAAGCAAACARGAGAACTCCAGTTAATCCTGGCTGTGATGTTGACAGGCAGTGGGGTTACTCTGCTGRCCCACGGCTGCCTTGGGCTATGAAGTGCTAAGGTGGTAGTTGAGTTTTGGAGCTCTGTGTAGAAAGACGTTTCCCCTACTTGGGGGACTTTTAGTGGAATGAAACCCGCTCATCTGATCAAGAGAGAAGGCTGGACTGCTCCAGGTTCTGGTCTTGATGTCCCTGGTGTGACACCAGACAATCTGGGGCACTGCCTGGACTGCCAATGGTACCTGGGAAGGGACAGAGCARTGTCCCACCTCCCCCTGCTGCTCCACCCAGCTGTGTTGACTCAACATCCCTGCCAAACGCTGGGACTCTGCTTTCCCAGAAAACAACCCTCACATTCATCACTGCCTAGTGCTGACAGGCCTTAAAAATCAGGGGACCTGCAGCAAAAGTCTCCCAGTCCCATGTGACGACAGGCTCGAGTTACCCCTGACTCCAGACACGGCTTTGCAATCCCATTTCTCAACTCTCACAATTAGATAACACTGAGGATTTACAATCCCACAGTCATGTTAGMCACCAATCTGCAAGGTCCCCAAGGCCATCAAATGGACTGAAGCAGAGAGTGAAACATGGAGAAAAGGGTATGAATTTGAAATTCAGSGGATATCTGATACCTTGTAAATAACAAGGCTGATTCTGTGAAACCATGGGCTGACATCCTGTTATATATCAGTGCCTATTCCGGGAAGGCTGCTTTGCAACAGAAATTCATGTTGAGAAGGAAGGAAAAAAACCCAAATCAGCAAGGATGAAAGCAAGAAGAATGAAAACAGTTGCAGATACAAAGGAGAGAAAATGATTTATAAGTGTTCATGCAATGTCTGCTTTGTCAAGACTGATCTTTTCAGGTGCTCCTTTTTTGTCTCATGTGTGTATTTCAAACACAGAAAAGGTTTAGCTGGAAGGAAGCCAGTATCCAGCCTCAGGCAATGATTAGTGAATCCATTTGGAGGAGCACACTTATCTTTGACAGACAGAAAGATTTCCAGGAGTCAGATATATTGGCAGCTGTCAGAAGGAGGGACTGGAAATTTACAGCCAGAATCGTACTGAGCTCGTCCAAGAGGCACAGAGACACTGGCACAAAATCTTCAGGCTCATGTTTTCCTTGCAGCCAGTTCTGAAGGTTCATAAATGCATTTTACTGTCCTCTGCTCACTCTGCACAYGCAGGGCTTATCTCCACATGATTTATGGGTGTTTTAGGTGCTGTGCTAAGTGTGTTAGCAAGGATGGCTGGGGCAGCACTGCCCAAAGGCAATCCCTGCTTCCCAAGATTCACCCCGGATCAGTGAACTTGGTAAAACTCCTTCAGGGCACCCTTGAGGCCCCCATTGCATGAGCGCTGTGCAGAGTCTGATGGGGATAAAGCAGTGCCCAGCAACCATTCCCTACCTGAAGCCCTGGGGACAGAGGCAGGTGTAGCCATTGACCGCATCCATGCAGGCGGCTCCGTGCCGGCACTTGTGCCCCACGCAGTCGTCATCGTCCAGCTCGCAGTGCTTGCCGCTGTACCCGGGCAGGCACTCGCACCTGAAAGGCACCAAAGCCCCGTTAGTGGCTCCTTCCAACATTCACACCAGCAGCACACACAGGCAGCGCAGCATTTGGGGTAGGAAGGTGCTCAGGCAGCCCAGCACCGCCCGCATTTGGGGTGGGAAGGTGCTCAGGCAGCCCAGCACTGCTAACATTTGGGGTGGGGAGGTGTTCACAGTCTTTGCTGGCAGCATCAAGCACAGCTCCTGCCATCAGAAAGGCTCGGGTCCCTCCTGCCTGGCTGCACTCGWGGCTCTGCAATCGGCTGAAATTCAAGTCGAGCCCCACCAGACTGCAGCTCCTGCTCAGGCAGATCTGTGGAGAAGGGTGRGCACCCAATGGTGCTAAAGATGACAATGCCTTCCTTCACCCTACAGACTCAAGGGACAATATTCTGCAATATCCATAACTCTCATCAATAACTCGGGTGCCCCAGGCTATGATTTTGCCAATGCCTGCACACTGTTGGGTGTCTGAGGTTGGCTCTGTGCTGCTATGTGGAGCACAGGAAGGGTCTGCCTTCCAAATGGAAGCAATCTGCAAACAAGCCATAAAACCCAGCAAATTTAAGGAGAAAACCTATCAGTTTTGAGACCACCACCTGCTTTCCATTCATTTTCAAGGCAAAAGGCTGCTGCAACAATGGAAAGTTGTGTTTGCAGCCTGTCTTTGCTGTGGTGACCCTGCATCTGCTGCTGTRGGGTGCTGCCATTCACAGGAGCACAGTGGATGTACCCAAACCTGCAGACCTTGCCTGTTTGTTTCATTTCATACAATTCTCAAGTTTGCTGCACAAAAGTTTGCTGCATCAGCATTTCTATTTATAAGTCTTGCAGAAGCTCATAGCGCAACAATGGAAAATGCATCCCAAAGTCTCTGACTTGGATCAGATCTTTTGGGATTGCTGAGCAGCCTTTTTTTGAATCTGTACTGTAGACAATGTTTAGTCATGAGCACTCTTTAGTCCATAAAACACATTTTACTCCTCCCAGCTGGATGTTGTTGCACATCTGGAAAACAAAAGGCACACCACTTCAACCAAATCAAGGGAAGAGCTACAGTTTATTTCAGCAGTAAAAGGGAGGTCTGTGCTCTTGTTAGAGCCTGTGGTTGGAACCAGCGTGCTTGTCACCAAGAGCTGGAAGAGCAGAGATGTAAAGCTGAGGATGTGGCATCAGGAGAGAAACCACTGCTCCATTCAGCTGGTCTACTCCTACTCCTCCTCCCTGCCAGCAGCCTGGAGGGGAAAATGCAGGAGGAGGCACCTTGTGGAAAATCTCTTCAGAGGAACTGGACACACGGGAGTGATGAGGAAAAAACCATTTCCACTTTCCAGGCAGCAGTAATTGAGCTGATTGGTGTTCTGAGTGACATTTCCTGGCTGCTGCCAGGGCAAGGCAGGAGCTGGTGACACTCTCTGGAGTGCAGCAGTGTCCTGGGAGTGACAGCAGCCACCCAGCCCAGGCACAGAGAATGAGAGCTCCAGGCTCTGTTCCAGGAGGAAATGGGGCAGAGCCTGTTCACCTGCAGCTGAGGATGGGCAGGGTTGGGTGCACACAGACACTCCACCCTCCCTGCAGGACAGGCCCCATCAGAGCCTCTGGAAACACAGCAGGGCCCATCTCCCAGCTCTGCAGGTGGGAATCGATTCTTTACACCTTGGTGGCTCRGGGAATACTGTGATTAACATAATGGAGATGACAAAACAGAGCAAAGAGCAATAAGTGTTCCTTCCCCAAACCCTAAGAAATGGGCAATGTTTTCTGGCAGCACCACAGACACACCTGCAAGGAAATAGTGTCAATCAAAAGACTTTGTGAGGGGAATTGGCAGCATTTAATCCTGTTGTTTTTTATTGATCCCTGCAGTCCTAATATAAAGTGATGYAATAATGAACAATGTGCAGTTCCCTATTCAGGGCTGCCATGCATCAATTTTATGATGTGCATTGGCTATCTCAGTAATGACAGAACCACCACTTTTCTCTGCAGGGCTGCATTAAATCAGCATTTTAAGCTGTCAGGTAATAATTCCAAGCTTTAGAATAATAAAGTATATTTATATCATGTTCCAACATCAATACAGTGAATGGAAAAACATGCTCCTTTCTTGAAGTTATTCTTTTGGAAGTAATTTCATTTTGTTAAACACTATTTTTTTTGTTTTGTTTTCTGGCATGCAGAAAGTTACTCTTCTCCTATATATAACAGCACACTAAAGATGTGGAAGCTGGAAGGGAGGAAAACCACCTGCAAATTTAAGTCAGAAAGCAGAGAGCTCTGAGCAGCCAAAGACACACTGAAATAGTCCAGTCTGCTTCYAAGCTTGGCTTTACAAGCCTGGCATTCCTTTTGGGTCAGTCKCCTCTGAGCTCTTGGTGTGTCACATCCAGGCTGAAGCTACCAAAAAATGCTGCCTGAAGTACAGGAGGTGAGAAATTCAGCCCCATGAGTTCTTCACCTGGCCCCCTCCTAGAAACCCCAGAAGGCCTGTCCCAGCAGRGAATGATGGCATGGTGACTCTGTCCTTATCCCCCAGTCCCACACTGAGCATCAACCAGRGAAAGTCTGATGCATGGAGAAGGTGGCAAAGAAACCTTCATGTTCAAATCATGGTAAGAGAGCAATTTACATGATCAGGCAGTTATCTCATTCCCCAGTGACCATCTGACACCCCTGCAGTTGGAATCTTGTTTTCTGTTTCAGCCTTGCAGTGATGGCAGCATTCCCAGTATCACAGAGAGCCTGAAAACACGTCCAGTGATATTTAAACTGTTGGCCCATCTGAGGGGGTTTGCATCTGCATGCACTCAATGTCTGCTGTATTAAAGCCGTGAATCATTGCTTCTATCACAGGGCCAGAGTGGAATTTCCCTCCCCAGATCAATAAAWAACTTGGCTTCCTATTTTTTCCCATCTCTGTCATGTTTTCTTCCCTCTGCAGAGCTGAGGGCAGGACAGACAGACTGACCAGTGCTGTGCTGTCCCCTTGGCTGTGTCTGACCCAATGCCCAGGGCACAGACAGCTCAGAGACCAGCCTGACTCCTGCCAGCAGCATCCCCAGCCTCTGGAAGCACACAAAGGGCTGGCACAGCACCCTGACTCCTGCACCAGGATGTGCCAAACATCAGATCAGGCTGCTCTGGGGATCAGGGCAGCACAGGAGCAGAGGCTGCTGTGAGCAGTGAGCCCAGCAGCACCCACACAGCCCTGCAGAACTGCTGAGGGCTCCTTCCTGGATGGGCTGGGGCCACTGAAGTGTCAAGGAAATAGCAGTGCTTGGAGAATTCTACAATCACCTCTCAAGTCTGGCTGCTAGAAAGCAAAATGAGACAGAAGGAGCAAAGAAATCATGGGTTTTTCTGTAGCACTATGAATAATGGGAAGAATAACACAAYAAACAGTAGCAGAAAAATACTTAAAAGCAGCTATTCAGGCTCCCCTCAAGGGTTAGAGGCCCTACTGTGAAGAACACTTTTCTAGCAAGCATGTGAGAAAAAGTCTTATTTACTCCAATTGTTTGGATGGCAAGGGGAAAACCATTCAGGGCCACAGCTGTCTCYATCCCTTCATCCCTCCAGCAACAGAAGGCAATTTGAGCTACAAGCCTTCACCTCATGACATGATGGAGCTGCTGAATGAACCAAAGCTACTGGATTAACCAAATGATGGATTAACTGGGAATGAAACCTGGGAAGAGCATCAGGGGCTGTTTATGCACTGGCACACACCCYTTATCCAGTCCCTGAACATCAGGAACCATCCTAATCATGTAACAGCTTCATCTTCCTCAGGATTTGGAAACATTTCTGTCTGGAGGCTTTTCACCCAAAAGAAGGTTTGTGTTGCACTGCCTGTCTAGCACAGAATCAGCTGCCCTAGGGACAGCCAACCTCTCTAAATTTTTGGCTCATTTCCTTTTAACTCTCCTGAAATGTCCTGTGTGCAAGTTTACACTGTTCTGGTTGTTTCACAGGACTCAATGAGACCCCAGCTGCAGGATTCCAGGATGACCAAGCCTGCTGCCTTCCCTTTTCTGAGCGTGCTGGACAAAGCCCCAGCAGGGAATCAGAGAGCACCCAGGGCTGCACTGAGGCTGTGAGAACAGCTTGAGGGGAGGCTGCAGAGAGCTGCTCATACTGCACTGAACTCTCCTGGATTTGTCTCCAATGATCTTTTCCTGACAAGCTTGACTTTCCAATTGTCTCTATTTGCCAAATTGCTCTGCAAGYCCCTCCTGAGCCAGGTGATGAAAGCTGCCACTGTGCACCTCTCCAAACCCCCCAACCCCAAACATCCAGGTGTTTTGGTGCCATCTGAAACACAAGGCTTTGTTTTGCCCCTGTGGAACAGCCAGTGTCATTCCCAACAGGCAAATGCAAACACAGACTTCTCCAAACCCCAGATGAGCCAAGCAAGGCTGGAGAAATGGCAACCCTGAGCTGGAGCCACCCAGCTCTGGCTCTGCTGTGCTGCTTGAATTGAAAAATGCCCTGAGGAACAMACAACGAAACTCTCCTTGGTTTCTGATGCAGGATAAGGTCCTTTGCAGTGACTGTCCCATAAATCCTCCTATTGCCCTGCTCTACTCCAGAGTAATTCCTCTGCTCTGAGGGTACATCCATTATTTTCAGGTAAATCAAAGAAAGCTAGAAAAGTGTTTATGGATGCACGAAATGAAGTACATGTAGTTCGCATTATTTTATATGTGTGAACATATATTTATGTGAACACATATATATTAGTGTTCATTTTGGTGATTTTTGCTCCAATCTCAGTGCCAGTACAAGCCCAGTCATGCCAAYGGGTGGATGTGCCCAGTGTGCAGAGACAAACACACACAGACACACTTACCTCACTCCTTTGTCCAGGGGAACACATTTGGAYTCGTGCTGGCAGGGATTTAGATCAGGGACACAGTGGTTGATCACCTCATCACACAGCTCACCTGAGGCAAAGGAAAAGCAAAAAAGCTCTAACAAACCTCGAACAGTCCTGAACACCCATGACGTCCAGGGATGGCCAATCTCCCTGAGTGGAGACAGCTCAGTAGCTCAGCAGGAAGTGACAAAATTGTTTGTTGGGGGCACATGAGACTTCATTAAATCGGCTCCTTTGACCTGCAGTGACCACAGTGCTTCTATCACAGGGATTTGAAGGGCTGAGGTAAAGAGCACCGACATACAAACTCCACTTGGAGACAGAGGAGGGATCAAACGGGCAGCTCCTGACCCAGAACCTCTCATTTCAAAGCAAGAAAGTGCCACAGGAGTGAAGCTGCTCGTTAGACCGTAACATTTTCACACGGACACATACTTTAGCCACAGTTCATACTCTGCCAAAGGAGCTGATTGGACATCGTTCTGGGAAAGAACAACAACCCACAAACCTCCCCCCAAACCCTCTGTGACTCTCTGTAATAGGAACCAGCTTTAGGACTGCATGCAATTATAAAGCACTCACTATTTATAAGAGAAGTACTAGCTCTATTGTGCTCACAGGACATGATGTCTTTCCAGAAAAAAAAAAAAAATCCATCTCATGTAAGCTCAGCTCAGCTGTTTCTAGGTACAATGTAAAACATGCCACGAACCTCCCTGGGTTTGTATAAATTTTAATAATTAATAGTTGCTGAATGTTCAAACCCTGATAGTTTATTTAAATACAATCCTTCTCTGAGTCCTAAATTATTAGGTCACACTTCAGTACCCCAGGATTTGAGATCCAGCCAAAGACCACAGAAGTCTTTGCCTTCCCCAGAATCCAACAGAAACCTACCCCACAGCTCCCAAAGCYTTGCAGGAGAAGCAAAGACCAGGCAGTGTCCAAATGAGCCCACAAAAGCTGCAGTCCCAAAGGGCCCTGAGCAGCTCTATCAGAAGAGCAAGGTTTCAACGTTATTCATATTTTCTGTGCCTGTGCACAGTACACAGCATCACATAAGCAACAGACCACGTGAACAGTGGAGAAAAATGAAAATGTGGTAGGCTAGAATTGTTCTTTTAGGTCTTCATGGAGCTGCAGCTCCATGTTCAAAAACCCTCACATTTCTCTACACCTTAGTGGCTACAGAGAAACACCTGAAAACACAAGCCAAGCAAACCACAGTGATCAAAACTCGGATAAAAAACGCAAATGAGAACCACCCATCTTTTATCAGTTCTGTGGTCTGGTGGGGTGGCTGAGAGCAGAGTTTGAGGGTGACCCTGGTGCAGACAGGTGGGGTTTGGGAGCTCCCCCAGGTGCTAATGCTCTGTTGGGTCACTCCTCCCTTCAGCACAGACACACAGCTCTCCAGGTGACTCCTCCTGTAAATATAACATGCATTTGCAAAAGGAACTCGATTGTTCTTGTGTGTTTCCAAACACAGAGCATGATCTGTGAGCTTTTGAGAGCTGTCAGGTGTGAATGAGAGCAGGAATACGAGCACAAACCCCATCCTCGAGGGCCATACAGCCCTCCTGACTTGTTACCCTGCTGGGTTTGAGCAGCCTGGCACAGCAATCTGCAGTTCATTGTCCACAGCATCACTTCCAGACCAGCAATTCCACCAGGASCCAGGGAATCCCAGGAAATCACCACTATTAAATGCTACCAARACTTTGTACAGCCCTGGACAAAGCCTGTGCAAATACAACAAACACATCCAGCTCAGGAAGGGGGATGTGCCGAGGAAACAGAGCACTGGAGGTCCATGGAAACAGGGCAACATCATCCACTGCACTGGGGTTTGCCACTGCACTTTGGGGCTCCTCAAAAGCAACGGGAGATGTTCAGTTCTTATACCTGTGAACACTGGGGACAGCCATCGACACATCTGAGGGGGCAGAAGTGGGGACAGGTCTGYTCACTGCCATCCCCAAACCCACAGCCCACCAACCCTCCCAAAAACCAACAAACAAAGGGACTCCCTCAGCTTTTGGGMAGACCTGAACATGAGCAGGTCACACCTCGCTGTGGTGCCTGGAGAAGAGCCAGTTTGTCATCTTGATATTCCCCATCTCCCTTGAGTGCTATGAATCTAATGTGAAAATAAACATCAAAAAAATTTAATTGGCTGGTGACATTAACAGAGCTCAAATGAGCTAAAGCTGGAAATATTTCTGGAAGGCCATTTAATAACTGAATAGAGTGTGGATAGATGCCTTCAACTATCCTTTCACTAAAAATGGTCAGTACAAACTTCTGAAGTTTCTRTTACTTCTTTTGTTTTGTTTTGAAGAAAAGGAAACAGGCTTTTAAAAAATATGAACAGTATCAAAACTCTCAAAGGAAATCATAATTCTTCTTGAAGTATTTTTCTGAACAGTCTTGACAAGYGCTTAGAGATCCAGTAAAAATCTCCCCAAATGTCAAATATTATGACTCACTGTGTCATTCTGAAGACACCACTATCAAAATGTAGGAGAATTCTAGGCTAGGTACCAAACACAGCATCCAAAAAAATKATATTTTTCATGCAAAACTTGGAACATTTCAGGACCCTTCCTGTTATTTTTCCCATCTATCACTCATTAGGGAGCTCACTTGGGAACGCCTTGCAACCAGAGCAGCCTCATCTCACGAAGAAAATACCTCTTGGTCATTATTCCAGGCTCCACCAGTGTTCAGTAGATGCTGCAGAAAGCATGCCAGGGAAATAAAACACTTTTTGAACCGCAAAACCCAAGGCACCAGCTACACAAAGTCTTTCTCATATTTTATTCACTCAGAAAATATCTGGGCCAAAAAATCTGCCCTCAGACCTGAGAGTGCAATATTCATTGGTCGCTTTAATGTCAGTATCAGAGAAAAAATGTGATCCTCTTTTTTTTGAGTGACACAGGGCTGCTTCTCTGCGCAGCAATTCAAGGTCTGGTCCAAATTCCTCAGTGGATAGTTATGTGAACCTAAAAACAAACCGGACATTCATCTTAGGCCAACCCCTAGCAGCACTGATTCTCTTTGTGGAAGATATTTGATCATGCCAAAACAAGAGAAAATGTCAGTGTAACGCTTTCCCAAGTGTGCAAAACCGTCCAACTTCCCAATTTTCCTCTCTCCTGCATGCTCTCAGATCACAGCTCCAATCTGGGCACACACAGGTTTCTGAATCTATAGAACAGAAAAACCACAGCCACATTTCTCTTCTAATCAGTTAAACAACTTTTTAAATCCCAAATAAGGCATTTTGTTCTATCAAGGCACACTTATTCTCTTTAAGCAAAGCTGAATAGGTAACATGCAAGCAGGCATTGGACAGAGGAAGGGAGCAGAATGATCCACCGTAAATCATTGCAATTTT